CAGCCCCCCGAGGACCGCGCACAAGTGTACAGGCAAGTGGGCAACACTCCCCCCGGGACAGCCTGCCGGTTCCAAATAAACTTGAGTTATGGATTTATTCAGCTTGTAAAACCTCAGCTGGCATAAATAATTGAGAAAGCAAAGGTTTGTCTGCAGTGCATACCTCAGGGACCCACTCCTGCCTCCCCCCCTCCCACCACCCTTTCTTATGAAAATGATCCCAGTTGCACTGCTAGATAATAACAACACCAAGCAATTAAAAGCTATGGGTGGCTGGAGAGAGGAGAAAAGGTTCAGTTAATGAGCTTTTCCTCTTCCTGCGCCCAAGAGAGCCTCAGAAGTGACGAGGCGATTAAAGCGAAGAGATAATTATAGATTATGTGAAAATGGGTCCCGTGGGGGCTGAGGGCCTTGACACAAACACTGAGTGCTGCGAGTGCCTCTCTGCTCCCCGCACGCTGCTGCTCCGCTCCGGTGGGCTCCCATTGCCTGGCCATGCCACCTGTGTGCAGCACCACGGCCAGGCAGCCGTCACTGAGCATCTTTTGGGACATGGAGATGGGAAGGGGCAGAAGAAGCCCAAGGAAGCACTGAGTGGATCCCTCAAGGCCTTGGACCAGAGGTAATCTGTAAGGGTGGAAGGGAGCGGGGCTGGCACCAGCTGGGAACTGAGCTTAGGTGGGTTTACTGTGCCCCAGGTAGGGAGGAAGTGAAGACTGGTTAAGCAACAGTAGATCTTCCCTGTGAGCTATTTAAAACCCATTGGCTTGACCCCTCTGTTTTTCATATAGCTTGGGGAGAAGGCTTTGGAAGTCTCCCAGGCTTGGGAAAAGGAGATGGCTTGGTGTAAGCTTTCCTGCATCATCTTCCAGTGTGGAAGGAACTGCCCTTGCTTTACCTTTTGACAATAGGTGTGGTTCAAGTTGATTTGAGAGATGACCTTTAAAAGGTCCTTTCCAACTCTAAGGATTCTATGACTTTGAATGGGGGTTAGCATCTCCTACCAGAATGGGGTGAGCAGAAGGCAGATGGAGAGGTAGAATGTGTTGGGGAAGGAAGAGAAGCCCTTCCAGCCATCTGCAAGAAATAGATGGGAACCTGTTCCTTGCAGATATCAGGTGGTCATGGATTTGGAGACTCCTCAACGAGAAGAGACAAGGCTTGTATGTAGTCTGACATTGAAACAAACTCATCTCAATCTTTCTTTTAGCTACCATTGTAAGTAACTGTGCACTTTCCCAGTAGTTTGAGCTTCCTGCTCTTTCCCAACTCAAGGTATCCTAAAGGCTGTATTTTTCATAATGCACTTCTTTTTTAAATCACTAGAAATGCTAGAATCTTTTCCCCTGTAATATGAGTCAAATAACGTTATGATATGACATCTATTGTATTCCTGATGTGCTTCTGCCTGTGTTTTTAGGTTATTTTGTCTTCTAGGCCTTGCTGCTGACTTTTATCAGCTTTATAGATGGAGTGCTGGTCTACAAACCGTGCATCCACTTTGTTTCCTTGTAACTGCTGGTGGAGGGATTGTTTTGCATGTACACATAAACACATGTGAAACAGATGAAAAATCTTCATGTGCTTTTGTGTTGTTTCTTATTTCTTCTGTGTCTCTAAAAGAAGAAAAAAAGAGCCAAGTTTATACTATTTTTGTGAGCTTTTTTCTCTCTAGTTACCTTCCTGGTTTTGGCACTTGGCAAGAACAAATTGTTTTGAATATCTGAAGCACAGACATCATTTTGTTTGCAATAAAATATCTTCATTAGGACTGTATGGACTTCCTTCATATCTGTTTGTAAAAAAACTCACTTCTCTTCATTGGTTTTTGTAAAATGGAGAGAATATATGCTAACAATTCTTATTTTAATTCAAAAACAGGAGCTAGCAGGTTTAGACCCTGATAAATAAATGCATTGTAGAAAGGTGAAATTTCCCAAAACTTTATCTCTGTTTAGGGAGATTGCTATCCTGGAATAATTCCATTGTGGAGACAGAAAAGTGGTTTTTTGGAAGGGGAATACATAGACTATTCACAGAGGTGGTGAGTCCAGAAAAGCTAAATCATATCCGGATAGCTGTGTCCATTTTTCTCCCTTACAGATAATACTGGTATGCTCAGAGGAGACTAAGAGTTGGCCTGGAGGCTGTGGTGGAATGGTGGCCCACTGCTGCTCCATCAGTGTTAGGAGTGTTCCCTCCTGCTGTGCTCCTGCAGACAGGTTCCTGTGGAGCACAGGGAGCGAGCAGTTGCTTCACTGCTGCTGTTTGCCTTCCTGCTGGTGCCTTCAGCTGTGCCATGTGAGGCCCAGCAGGGCTTTCAGTAGCCAAGAGTGTGTGTGAGAGGTTAGACTGGCAAGGCAGGAGGAACATCTGCTTGTCAAATCAGCCGTTGTTAGCAGGGGCAGGCATGTCTCATAACCTCCTTCATGAAGCTGTCGATCTCCATCTTGAGCAGCATAAGTTTTTGCCTTTTCTAATCCCACCATGAGATCCCTTTTTTCCCTCCAGAATTCAAAACAATTGCTTTTAAAGCATGCAGTGATTTGTTCCCCAGGAGCCTGTGTAGCATACAGGCAAGGCCCCCAACAAATGAGTCCTTGAGAGTGCAGTTAAGGAACTGGCAGGCTTCTGTAGCGTCCCCGGGCCTGCACATGAAGTGTGTGATCTCTCCTGGAAAGGAGCAGCTCAGGTGTGCCAGAAGACTCCTTATGTGCAGAGAGTAAGGGAGATTATAGAATGGCCTGGATTGAAAAGGACCGCAACGATAATCTAGTTTCAACCCCCTGCTATGTGTAAGGTCACCAAACACTAGACCAGGCTGCCCAGAACCACATCCAGCCTGAACACCTCCAGGGATGCGAAGGAGAATGGCCCAGAGCATTGTGGCCTCTCCAGTGGGTCTGACCTGGTGCAGCAGGCTGCTGCTTTTGTAAGGAATTTCCTTGGACGCTGCCAGTTCTGAGTTCTGCTCAACATCCAGATTGTCTTAAGCCCACAGGTGACTGTGAACTGGGGGTGTCACAGGAGAGGCTAACTTTGTATTATTAACTGTTTGGAAGATGCCAAATCCCATGACAATACTGACTAGTTCATTGGAGCTATAGTTTTCATTTGGAAACAGGGAAGGGTAGGGGAAACACGGACTTTTTGCTTACTTCGAACAAAGCAGTGATCTGTTTTCTTTACTCCTCAGTGGGAACACAGCTGTGTGGGTATACCAGTACTTAAAAACATTATTGTCATGCTTCAGTTGTTTCTATTTATGTACCATCCCACAAGCAAGCCTTGTTGCAGTCCTTTTTACAGTGATGGTGTTACAACAAAGCTTGACCATAGCCTTGCTCAGAGCAGCAGGCTAGGATATGCAAGGGACCAACATACACCTGTTTCAGGATGCAAACACATGCTCCCTTAGCCACACTTGCTGGCAGAAAGACCCACAAGTTGGGATGTGGCAGGTGCTTGAGTTGCACCAAGTAACAATCAGAAAGACCAATGTGATGGAATAGTGATACAGGAGGTCCAGTGACAAAGGCATTAGAGTGATAGAAAGGTGCTGCAAATAAAAAATGCTTACCTATCTCTGAAGATCTAGGCTTGCAAGGGAAAATCTGCAAAGGAGGAATCTCCAGAAATAAATCCTTCCCTGCTGGCAGTCAGCTCTTAAATGAGGTCTAAGAGAGTTGCAGGCAGGCTCCATTCCTTCTGGTCACACATCTGAATTGCCTTCACCTGTGCTCCCAAGGCTGGGTCCTTTCCCCAGGTGCTCAATCAGTGGTTCAAGCTGTTACCATATGCTCCAATAGCTTCTTCTGGAGCTAAAAGCAGTACTCTGGCTTCAGACATACTAAACCTTGTGTTGTTATTAGCGAAGCAAACACCTTCTAATGAATTTAAGACTTTAGTACAGATTCTTAAAGCATGAAAGACCTTCATATCAGTTGCTGGATCCGCAGTGCTTCTTGGCAATTAGTAAAGCAAATGCTCAGAACCTTTAGGAAAAGGATGGAGATCTGAATGAAGACTTTTTTACCCCACTGTACAAATCTGTGCACCTGCATATCTAATTCAGGTCAACCCATCTCAAAAAGGAAGGAGAGAGACTGAAGAAGAGGGTGAAATGGAATTATCAGCAAAAGTAGGAGTTGCTATCCGAGGAAACAACAGCATAGTTTGAAAGGAGCATCTGAAGAGAATGTGACTTGTGCGGTCATATGAGAGGTCTGCAGGTGGTGTGAAGTACATGAATAAACACAGATTACCAAGGAGTACCCAATAATACCAGACAACTGTTTTAAAAACACCAAAAGAAAGTATCTGTTCATCTCTTCATGCCCACAATATGGAGCTGTAGAACTTTCCTTTAACAAGGCTGAGAGCATGAACGGGTTAAAAAGTAAAAAAGTGTTTGAAAAAGGGTCTGGAAAAATCTGAGAAATATCTTCATCTGGATATGGCTACAGAAATCCTTAAGCCACCAAGTTTCAGAAGGTGAGGGTCTAACCAAGATTAGATCCTCAGCTTTGCACTTAATCCTATTTCTTCTGCTCTTCTCTCCAAACCTGTGTTAGTGACCACTGTCAGAGATGTGTGGCACTGAAAAGTGACTCCAAGCGATAGTAGTTACAAGTTTGTTTGTGTAGCAGGGAGAAGCAGAGCTTTAGCCCTTTATCCTCTGGCAGACTGCAGTGATATATACCAGGACTGAGCAGGTTTTGTGTTGGGTAACTTTATAAGCTTCTTGTGACAATTCACAGGTTTAAGACTTCTGACCTGATACAGTGTTGTTAAAAACAACCTTGGTTTTCTAGGAAACAGGAATTTCTGACTCTTACATGGGGAAAAAACATATTCTTCTGCATGCATTATACCAGAAGCCAGTTCCACTCCAGCGATGCTATTGAAATGTTTGTAGCAAAGTTAGAGCATAAGATGTGCACGTGGCCTTTGTGCAGTGCAGTAATGTGTTATTTCTTTTGCTTTTGTTTCCTGGATAGGGAAGAGGACAAGAACATTTTTGATTACTGCAGAGAAAACAACATTGACTACATAACCAAGGCCATTCAATCGAAAAAAGTGGATGTGAATGTTGCAGATGAGGAGGTATGGATAAAAAGATACAGAAAATCAGTCTTTTAATTGTTTAGTTTATTAACTCAGTATTAAACCTTCCCAGAATTCCCCTGTTAGACTTGTTTGAAGGTACTGCAAGAGTTGGACAAGCACTTGATCATGGAGATGAGTATAATCTGTTTGGAAAGAGCAACTTTCCACTGGATTTTTAGCAGCATGGATGTACTGTGGTTTTGTAGTATGTCAGAAACTTCCTGTTAATTTCAGCAACAACAGCTGCAACTTGCAGATTGATCTGCTGAAAACCCCCCTTTCTAGGGGCATCGTACACTCTTTTTCAGAATCGAAACACCTTTTCCTCACAGGGAGATAATAGAGGCATTGCCAGAAACCTCAAGGAAAAGACAAATACATAAAATGTGAATGGCCTGATGATTTTCTTGGTGAAAGAACACACCTGGAGTGGACAGTTCTGCATTCAGCAAATGTAGCAGTACCAGCTTTATTGCTCTGGTTTCAGTGCTTGCATACTGCCACCTAGCCCTGCTCTCGATCAACAGTACGTACAGCTACTTTCGCCTGCTGCTTTCCAGCACATTGTGTTTTGGTGAACAGATGAAGTGCTTACACATTCATAGACTGAGACGCCACAAATTCAGTTGGGTTCTCCGGTAGCTCTAAGCAGATTTCTGCCCTCTGAGCCATGACAGCCCCGGCTGGGGCTCTGAATGCTGATGGCAGGGCCTTTTATTATTAATCAGGAATTCGTGTGAATTAATTTTCAGATGAGAAGGAAGGTGTTCACGATCAGAGCTGGAATTTCGCAGTGTAAATTCAATGAACTGAAACTGTCATATGCCATGCAGTCACTGCAACAAGACTGTTGCTGAGCTCCGTTTGCCCTTCTGTCAGCCACAGGTTGCAGAAGTGAGTGCCCAGGGCAGTCATTCCTATCATGGCCAGAATCTTTTCATTAATAAAATCCCATTTTTGAGATCACACACTTGTAATCAGTGCATAATAACATCATGTGATCTTTGCTTCATTTCCATTGATGAGATGTTTTCATTCTTCCTGATGTTCAGAAGCTGGTTCCTTCTTTTGCGTCCAAGCAATGAATGTGCATGCCTTCAGCCAAAGAAATAGGTTAAAAAAATAAATGTGAACGATGGCTGAAATATTTTTGTTCTCTCCATGTAAGTATTTGGAGACAGATCTGAAAAGTGTACAGTGACTCCCAAAGAGTTCTGATCTTTGAGAAATATGCCCACGAGTCCAAAGTGTGATAGGGCCTGTTTCAGAACCAGCAGGCACTTGCAGAGCATGGAGCTGCTGCAGCAAACGCCTGACACTTCTGCACCCCTGGCTGCCTGTGAAAAGTGGATGGACAGATACCTGCTGGTGCAGAATTCCCCCTTAGGTGTATTTTTGCTTACCCCAGCAAGTGCTCAAAGAGGTAGGAGCCCCTTCATTAGGCTTGATTTAAATTAGTTAAATAAATAAATAAATTGGAGAAACAAGAAATCTGAAAGAAATGTTTGTTTGATGCTGTTTTGAGGGACTGAAACTGTCGCCAGAGCTGTTTAGTAACCAAATGCATTCTTCAAAGTCTGGAGAGCTGCTCATTTTCCAGTATCGTGCAAATTGATTCAAGTTTTAGAACCCATTTTAGGAAGGAGATAATCCAGAGCAAGCCTCTGGTAGAGTGAAGGGTATGCAAGCATCATCTTGTCATTTTTATTAAGTGTTTTAGTGTTACAGTGTAAATACATCCTGCCATATCCAGAAGATGCCTTTCCCAGCCCTCTGAACGTAACTCACTCTGTCGATCTTTTGATTTAAACACATATAAATATAAAGTGGCAGCACGGATCCATACAAAGAGTTAACTTGTTATGGAACAAAATCTGCTGGAGCACCAAGCAGCCTTGTGCTCAGCTGTAAAGGCTCTCAGCACAGCCGCTCCCACAGCAGGAATGGCCTGCCTGCAGTGGTATGGTGCTTTGGTTTTATCACCAAGTGATGTATTCATACTGTATCTAGTTAGCAAAGGGAGAAAATGAGAATAAAAATGTAAAACGAGGGCACGCTGACTTAGAAGCAAAAGGATTTCAGAAGGAGCAGTAGAAGTCTGTAGGATTTAGGCAGAGATGCCCTTGGCAACTTCTGAAGCATGGGCTGCCTCCTCCCCTAGATTAAAGAAAGACATGAAAATCTTTGTGTATGGCAGTCAAGCCAGCATACCCGCTAACAGTACGGATATAATAAACTTCAATTTAGAATTAAGCAAAGAATCTAATGACAGTAATCATGTACAAGCTTCCATTTACTGTATCTAAATTGCCCAGAGTTCAACAGAATAGCTTGCATTCACTTAGGAGTAATAGTGCAGGCTAAAACAACCAGTTTCTCTTGCGTGTGTCAGCAGGACTAATGGAATAAGGGAAGGACTGTGGCTGGGAAGTCACTGCAGGGCGTCAGGCACGCTCTGGCGGCATGGATTGTTTGCTGTCTTTGTGAGAGCAGTATTTCTTCAGCTGTTAACTAACCAGAAGTTGTTCAGAGACATAGGTGGGTTGCTTCCGTCATCTGTGCCAAAGTCCACGGAGATTGTAGATGGAGATTTTGTTGTAACTGTTGGAAGTGCCCCAATAAACAAACATAGAATCATAGAATGGCCTGGGTTGAAAAGGACCATGATGATCATTGAGTTTCAAACCCCTGCTATGTGAGGGTCACCAACCACCAGACCAGGCTGCCCAGAGCCACATCCAGCCTGACCTTGAATGCCTGCAGGGATGGGGCATCCCAATAAAACTCTTGCTACAGGTTAGCTTGTCTGTCATTGGTGTGCATCCTTTACAGCTGCAAACATTGTCCCTAGAAGTAGAGCTTGATACTGTGGCGTTTCCATTGAGGTTGGCTTTGTTCTCCTCTTTCTCTGCACTGGCTAATTGATGTGAAATTCATTCCCATCCGTTTGTCTGCTGAGGTTCGGTCTAGCTGAGACAAATCCCCGTCCTGTGCTTTGTTTGTGAACACACTGTGACTTGGAGCTGAGCAAATTGATATGCTGTTGGCTTGAGAAACTGCTGCAGAAGCCGGCCAAGCTGGCAGCGGTTACCCAAGCAAAGCACGGAAGATTTAAGAGGCAGGGTTAGTGCACTGGGGCTATTTTTATGCTGTTTTTATTAAATACTTCAGAGGCAGGGGAAATGCATCTTCTCAAGCAACTTCTGCAACAACTGTTGTGTGTTTGAATTGCACAGAACGAGTACCCTGCTGTCTGATTGCACTGGGCAAGGCTACTGCTGCAGTGCTTTCCCATGCAAAATTATTCGCCTTGGTCTGAGTCTTTCACTGCCTAATGAAATAGTCATACGGGAAGTGCTTTGGGACGGCTCAATCTGTGGCTCTTAATGCTTCTGCTGTGTTATTTAAAGATGCAGACACATGTTGATGTAAAGTAACAGCTGTGCAGGCTGTTTTCAACCTGTATAGGTGATAGCCAAGCTGCACAGAGAGTTGTAGACTGTGTGTTCAGTTGGTTTATCACTGAATTGTTATTAGTTTTTTAAGGAGGACCTGGGAAACAGGTAGACTTTGTAGCTGTGTAGCTGTTCCAAATACATACAACTGGGGCTCCAGAAGATTTTAGTTTGCCTGCTTCAATGCAAACAGTCGTGAGCTGGATGTGGCTCTGGGCAGCCTGGTCTGGTGGTTGGTGACCCTGCACATAGCAGGGGGTTGGAACTGAATGAGCACTGTGGTCCTTTTCAGCCCAGGCCATTCTGTGATTCCATGATTGTTTTAAACTTTTCTTAGTGATGCTTTTTGTTATATGGTAAGTACATTGAGATTCTTCTTCTTACTTCCACATCAGATGGTGTGCTCTCACAGAGAGGGTCCCTGCCACCCTGTGCTTATAGGGTGGATAAGATGATGCAAGGATGCAGCCATTTCTTGTGTGGAAACGTGTCAGCTTTTTAATAGTGCACGATTACAATGCAGAACCATTTAAGGCACTAATTGGAAAATATTGTATCCATTTAGAATTGCAGAGAAAATATATAGGTAAGCAGAGTGTAATTACCCAAAATGGAATTGGCCCAAGACTTGAAATCCATACTCCTGCAAATAGCGCGAGGAGATTTTTAATGACTGGAGATGATCAGGCTTCAGTTTCTTGTCTTGTCCAAAAGGCAACGTTCACAGCACAAGCAGCACTGCAGGGAGGGACTGGTTGCACCATGCTGCAGTATCACCACGCTCACACAATGGGCAGCACAGTTCTTCCTCAACCACTGGGTTCCCTTCATTGGACTCCACCAAGTTGAGCATCAGTAAAATAAGGTTCTGCTTGACCAGAGACAAGTGCAAACCAAAACGTTGCAGCCATTTGTAACATGTTACTTATGGACAGGATAGGAATGCCTTTATTTTGCACTACAATGACACAAAAATTGGAATTGCGTAATTAGAATATTGTCTCTATACTGCATGTGTAGAGAAACAGGGATAATCAGTTGGAGCACTTATTGCTATTGTGCATATTGCAGATAAAGTGATTCTTTCTTCTGAAATAGAAACCAGGCACAAGGAAGTTGGCACTGCTTGCCCAACTGAAATCCTCATTCTTAAGTAATTACCAGGCTAGAGTTGAGCTAGGGATGCTAAAGATGAATTAAAGATCTTCCTGTGTTTACAGAATCGTGTGTAAATGGCACTCTTTCCTCTCTTAGACGTTGATTGTGGTGCTGAGTGCAAGAACATAAATCATTAAATGGCCCACCGATGTCATCGGTGCTTCCATAGAAAGTCATTGTCAGAGAATACATTCTAATTCAAGGTTAATTAGTGTAACGTTAAAATTATGTGTTACAAAAATTAATTACTCACTGGGTCAAAAAGTCTGTTAAAAAGCTCAATGCTTTGTATCTGCTTATCCTCCTTCCAAATAACGTCTGTCTGTGCCACCCTGCTGAAGGATGCCCAGCAGGAGAAGGGTGAGCTTCTGCTGCAGGTATCTTCTGCCTCACCTGCAGGTCTGGCACCACAGTTGGGAAATTGGCTCACAGTCCCCATTAGTGGATAAATGAGTTGCTCACCTTGTTCACCACTGCTGCATCAAGAGATTTATAGGCAGGCGTGGGCTGCTGTAAGTCCAGATCCAGAGCACTAGGATGCTATGTACCGATATTAGTGTATATCTGCTATTAGTGCTCAATAATTCATAGCATAACTACAATTCTCCAAGCTGTTTTTTGACTAGCTTTGTTGCTCTTGGATGTTGCAGGGCAGGGCTCTGCTCCACTGGGCATGCGACAGAGGACACAAGGAGCTCGTTTCAGCACTGTTGCAGCACGCTGCCGACATTAACAGCCAGGTAAGAAAGGAATGAAAACAGAACTTGTGTGCTGTTTGTTCTGTGGCCTCCTGACCAACTCCAGAGCAATTTCTTTCACAGCATTACACAGGAGAATGCTCAAAAGTGTCTGAGCTGAAGGGGCAGCAGCGTAATGCACCAGGCTGGGAGCTGCCCTGGTTCAGCTGCAGCTCAACAAGTGGTTCCTTCTGGCCAGCAAGCTGGAAGCTCCCCGCACTCACAACTCAACGCTCCTAGTTTTGTCAGCTGGCTGTAATGAAGGGCTGCCCTGTGTAATTGTGATTGTGTTCGGAAATAATCGTTCAACATATTTCTGTCAGATGGTGATTGACTGCTCCTTACCAGCGTGGCTTTTATAGGCTTTGTTCTCCTGCCCAGTTTGGACAGAGATACTCTCCTTTTGACAACTTTGCAAGCTCTTTGCAGCGAGATGGCTTCATCAGCCTTGCAGAAGGTGCTGTGGGAATTTGTACAAAGTGGACCTTCACCACACTCGTGGCATGGCATGCCCCATTGTCAGCCCAGAGCCAGCCTTCCAGTGAGCTAGCAGGCAGTGCGTCAGATGCATCTGGGGAGAGCTTCCCTTCGAAATGAGATGGAGGTGAGGCCCACCACCTGCCCGTCCCCTTTAACCTGACAGCCTGGGAGGTGGTTCTGTTTGAAATGCTGTACTGCATCAGCACGCAGGGAATTCATTTTTTGGATAACTATCTCATTTCTTTGGAGGTAAAGTCTGACTCCTAGAAGAGAAGGCTGAGGGGAGAATTGTCTTATTTTTCTCCAAACTTCAATTTTCTGTTAAATTCTTTCCATTCTTTTTTCTTGATGTATTGCACATTTTCTAACCAGTTTATTTTTGGCCAGTAACAAAAGGTTAATAGTGGCCATAAAAAGAAAATCAATCTTTGACTGTTTTTTTTCCACCAAAGTAATAAAGGAGAATTTTTATAAAGGTCCTGCATTGCACGTAGGTGTGTTCCCAGGGAAGGCAGGCGCGTTTTTATTCTCAGCCATATGTAAGTTGCAATAACATTTTGAGACTTCATGACCTAATGTTTATTTCTTCTTTATTTTGACCTTTACTCTCTGAGAATTCACACCCAGAGAAGAACCAGAAAGAGTTTTTGAAGAGTAACCTGAAGAAGAAAGGGAGAGGGAAAAAATGCGGCTTCCTAAGCAGCCATAAACACTGCAATGTCTGCTATTACACATTACCAATTGCACTGTCAGTTAACGCGTGGGCCATGAAGAACCATGGGATAGGTGTATGGGGATCTCTGGTGACTTGAAGCAATAGTGCCATTATTCCAGCCCACACATACGCCTTGCTCACTCTTTACTGCCTTATTTTAGTTCACCCGTAGCAATGCTTACCTTGTGGAAGCACTTGAAACCTCTGGATCTGGATCTATTACTCTTCGTTGTTAAACAGGCAGCTTGGAGCAGGAGGAGAGCTTGCCTGGCTCCACTCATTCTCATAGCATGCTCCGACCAGCCCCGATTCTGGGAGTGCGGTGTTTTTTGCTTTAAATGGTGGTACTGCAGCTTCAGAAGGGCGGTTCATTAATGTCACCGAAAAGCTGCAGCCATTGAGTTCTCTGATTGTTCATAATTAGCTCTAATAGCACATTTGACAAGCGGTAACCGATTGCCATGGGCAAAGGGATACAGAAAGGCAACAGGCTTCTCTTCACATTGAAAAGGGACGTTTATGCAATTGAATTACCTAAATCTTTGGAGCCAGAGGCCATTTCCAAGTGGGTGGTGTTATGGTGTTTTGGAGCCCTGCTGGAAATACCCAGAGCTAGGGATCAGGCTGAAAACAGCCTCCTGCTGCTGCAGCTCTGCTTGCTTAAAATGTAGGCTTTTAATTGAGTGGTGAAGGGAGGGGAAGGGGAGCATATTCATAACGCAGTAGTTACAAAGCAGCTCAGACAGCATGATTGTAATATCAATTTCTAGCTTTAAAATATATGAAGACATGAATAAGTTTCCCTTGCAGAAGGTCAAGCGACAAAGGAAAACCTTTTTACACTGTCAAAGCGTCAGTTGTGACAATTTTTCCTGCAGCATTTGCCCTGGCCTTGGAAAGGAGGTTTCAAAGCAGGGGGCATTGGATGCGGGGTGCGCAGAATTGCATCCCAGCCTTGTGCTGCCATGCAGCTGTGCATCCTCTGTGTTCCCTATGCTTTCAGAAGGATGAAGGGAGTCATAGTCTAATAACTGTCCATTGAGAGGAAGAACAGCAAGTAGTATCTTGTAACACCAAAGCAGTAAACTTGAGACTTGCCCCAGCCTTGCTGTCTCTGCACATCATTGTGCGTTTCGCGTCATCAGCTTATCAACGTTATACTTACATATAGAAAATAGCACTGTAATTTGGCTACTTTGGTCACGATCCAAGTTCTAACTGACCTGTTTGCTTTGTTTGCTGACCTTTCAGTTCCTCAGTAAAGGCACAGGTCACTGTACGAAGATTTCACACCTGTCGTCAGTAAGTTTTCCAGTCACCCCTGGGCCCTCAGGGCCTTGGGAAGGAAACTTGAGAACCACAGCTGGAAATCAGCAGGTTGGGAAGTTTGTTGCCAGTAGGAGTGAGTTTTATTTTGCTCGTTTGTACGCACCTGTAACTTCATTGAAAGTCATGAAGCATCCCGCACTGTCTGCAGTGAGGGCTGGTTGCTCTCTCTCATACCTGTGTGAATGTTGCATCTGTGTGCTGAACTAATTCACACCAGGCAGCTCAGCTGCCTGAAGTCGATTTTGTTTCCTTTAAGAGTAGCACAAGAAGTGTGGCTGCTCCCCCAGCCTATCTTTTCTCCTAGTCCCCTGCCAAAAGCCCCAGCAGGCAGCAGCTCTCCATCTGCATACCAGCATGCTTTTGAGTCATAGGACTTCTGGAGCCTGGGATGGGGAGTAGCAGTCCCCTCATAATACCTTCACGTCCTCATTGGGGGGAAAAAAAAAAATAATCTTTTCAAATAGAGACAATACAAACATAATAAATGGCAGGGAGGGTTCATCTCCCTCATGACTCAATCCTTCTCAAACAACATTATTATTGACTGGCCTATTGGTTGCCAAAAAAGAAAATCAATTGTACTAGAGGTGGTTGCTGTGCCACAGATCATGGTACTAACCCAGCAGAGACAGGTTGATTTTTATCAACTGAGCCCAAAGACTAATTTCCACCATTAGCTAAAAATGAAGTAGGAATTACGGATGTGTTGAAGATTGCTAAGATTGGTGGCCAGTTGGTTTTGTTTGCAAGGCCTTTGCGTTTTCCTGTCTGACTCTTGAATGATTGCATGTATAGAGTAAAAAGAAGCCAGAAAAAGTCTGCATGTCACTGCCTGCTTGTTTTCTTTTTAACTGCATTTATTCAGATTTCACAGCAAAAAGGGGAACTACATCAGCATTGGCCTCATGTTGGAGGTGCAGTGCAGACAAAGCTGTAGCCAGCTAGCATGCATCCATCCCTTCCATGCCTATTTCTCTGTATCTGAGAGAGGTGTTGAGGAGATCAGCATAGGCATCCTGGTGGTTCTTTGTCAAGAGACACAGGTCCCAGGCTGCACTTTCACAGCTTTCCACTCCCCATGGAATGTGTGCATGCCTGTGTAGCCCACCAGCTTTCCTGCAAACCCATCTGTGCAAATGCACCTATAGACAAAATGCCAGCCATCAAAATACTCCACTGATAGGACCATTCTAACCTTGTCAAAATAAAAATACCCGAGCTGTGAGCACTTTCATTTAATGTCCCAATATAAATTTCCCCCTAAATATGCTGAAAGCTTGGCTAATAAAAGCATGAGGACCCTCTCCTGGATCTGCAGATTGCTGCAGAGGTTTGGCATAGTTATGCTCCCAGCAAGCAAATACTGCAGGTTCTGCTGACCTGACCATTGCTGCAGTGGGAAGGCACAATGGCAAACAGATGAAGAAACTAAACAAAGATGAAAGGCAAAGCAATGGGTAATGAGAGCAGAATTATTAACCACAATAGTTTTCTTCTTTCCTTACAGCCCCCAGTCCCTATCTCAATATTTCTGTAGTCAGCTTTGCCAAGGAGATCTCAGAAGACTGCAAGCTTATACCCCTTCAGTCTTGACATTGTTGCCAATGGGTGTGAAATCCATTAGCCAAAAGAAAGGAAAGATCTGCTTAGTGACAGAGGGTAGCTTTCTACATTAAAGCATTGACATGGTGCCAGTCACACAGTTATTAGAAGTGGCACAGCTCCATGTCTCTCCTGCAGGTCTCTCTGTGGAATGTAGATTGGCAGCAGGTTGAATGTTAAATGGTCACCACTCAGCAGATGCTGATTTTACCTACTGGGAGAAAAGTCCCTTTCAGCAGAAGCATTTGCAAAATATTTGCTGCTCTAAATATATGCTGAGGGATGCAGAGACTTATCCCTGGGTTGCTCTTCAGCTTCTGAAGACACCTCAGGTCTCAGCAGCACAAGCTGTGTGTTATAAGGACAAGAAGAAGTTTCCTTCTGCCTGTGCATGCCGATTTTTTGTTGCATTGTCTCTTCACATCTTCCAGCTTGACATGTACAGCCTTTGTTTCTTCTGCTCCCTGTAGACATATGAATCATTGCTTCACTGCTGGTGCAGCAAAGCAGTTGGCACCTCTGCTCAGGCAGCGCGTGCAGCACTGCCTGCAAAGCAGGCTGAGACAACTGAGTGCTTCTGTGTTATTCGAGTGGTCATTTCAGGACCCATGCAGCCCTTTCAACCTCTCCATGCAAAACAAGCATTTGAAAAAGTGAAATCCAAGAGCCAGTCCTGAAGAGCCAGCAGTAGCCCCCACTGTTACACCCTCAAAATCTAAAGCTGCTCTCAGGGTAATCAGAATGCAGAGATTAAATCCAAGGACCGGGTTTCTGCGAGTCCCTGTGAGGTTGTGTGGCACATGGGCATCACCTTGTTCCTTCATAGGGGCACGGCCAGCACTGGCATGCTATGGCTGCAACCTCTGGGAGCACCCACAGGGACAGGCAGCAGGAGCTGGCTGTTAGGTGCCATGTCCATGCATGGCACTGTGTTGGCTGGCGTGCTGTGTTGCAGAGCTGGAAGAGAGGTCTTATTCCTTACTGTGTCTGTCTTTGCAGATGCAGGAGTCAGCCTTACCTCAAATGCCTCCCTGGGAGGACGTGGGATGGTCCCAAGCCCCTTTGTCCCAGGGTCATCTTTGACATAAGCACATGTTTAAGTCCCTGTAATTTGTGAAGGCATTGTTGGAAATGCTTTAGCCCCTCATTAAGGTGTTTGGTTAGCTGCACAAACAGGATACCACTAGCAACCAAGCTGGTTTTTCAGGTGGACGCATCACATTGGAATGGTCTGCGGCCTTGCTTCATTTCCTATATCCCAGGCATTGGGCTGTATTGGAGAAACAACCTTTGCCAAGCAACCAGCTACTCTTTGCTTAGGAGAGGTAGTTCCTGGAGCATTTGCATTCAGCTTTCCCTGTTCTGAAGGAGCTAAATTCCACCAGTGACCTTCTTCCTAAGGACTTTTCAGTATGAGAAAGTCTGATCTTGCTTCCCAATGGAATTCTGTACTCATACATTGTCAGTTGTCTTTTCCTGTTTGGAAAACAAACACTGAGCTCATTGTTGGGACATCTTGAATTTGCTGGCTTTGATGCAAAGAACTTCTGCTAGTTTTTCTAAAAAAAGATGGACTTTTTTCCAGTACTTTGAATGCCAGGACAGTGATTTTTTTTCTTCTTTTTTTTTTTTTTAATAAAGATTTTAAGTCAGATTTTGACTAATTCACTCATACCTGTTGCTTGGCTTCGTGGGTTGTAAGTGACAAAACAGAACTCAGAATGGCAAAGCTCATTTAGGAGATACCTATCCCCTGATTTTTATATTTCTTTTCCGCAGCAGCTGTCAGTGCAGGACTCCTTCTAGCTCAGTAGCATGTCTCCAGCAGTAGGAATAGTGAATGCTAAGCAGACAGAACAGGGTAAGCAGAAGGGATTTTTTAATGTATTTACCTGAAGTCTGCGGCTTGGAGGATCCTGAATCAATTCCGGTTTTTCTAGATTTTTCTTTGATAAGTTTCTCTCCCACCCCTTTGGATCCAAATCTTCTATGCCAGGTGTAGCGCTGTGGCTTAGCTGTGCATTTGCTTCCACTTGCCACAAGTATTTCACGTGATAGCCCATCATTCTGGTGTCATGAGAAACAGTAATTGTTTCCCCAGTTGCCTTTTCTGTTCTGTTGTTGACTTCATCAGCCTCCTCGAGCCCTCTTAATCACATTTTTCAGATTGAGAAGTTTAATAGTAAATTACTCATTTAGTTGTACCCCTCTTGGAAGCTGTCTAGTAACGTTACACCTCTGTAATGCTATAATATGGGATGGAAAATACCACGATAATAGCAGGGTGGCAAAGTCTTTGAGTACACCAAGTGAGAACAAGCCCAAGTGCAGCAGCCACAGATGTAGACACAAAGGAAAAGAGCTGCTTACCTTCAGAAGGCCTCAGCTAAGCAGGAATCTTCAAAGGGAAACACCCTCACCTCCACTGCCAACCCTTAAATGAGGTCTGGGAAGAGGTGGATCCTGGCTCCAGCCCTTCTGGTCACTTAGGTTCATTGCATACACCTGAGCTCACCTACGTTGGCCCTGCCTTCCACCAGGTGCTCAGTTGCTGCCTCAAGCTCTGACTCAGCATTTCTGGTACAACCTCCTAGAATTATTTCTAGTTCTTCCATAGAATCATTAAGGTTGGAATAGGCCAGTGAGATCATCTAGTCCAACCATCAGTTCATCTGTGTTTTCTTTCAGATGTTGCTCTCTCTGTTACCCAGCTGTAAGGGCAGTATGAAATTTCACAAAGCAATGTAATAGTGCTTTCTTACTCCTCCTCTTTCTATTAGTGCCTTCTTTTTGTTTATTAACTACCTGAACACAGAGCTGGTGGTACCATAGACAGCCCGTACAAATCCCTTGGAACGACCACTAGCAATTGTGTGCGTTCATCTTTTATTCCTATTCAGCCTTTACCCCTGCAATCAGCTCAGCTTGGCTAGAATTGATCACCCTGTCCTAAGGAAGGTTTCTCACCAAATGAAGGCCTGAGCACAGGTGAAGCTGGAAGGTGCTTTGAAGCTTTCTGCTGCATTTGTTCTCGGGTCAGGACCTGGCTATCTGCAAGCTGAGTTCCAAAGCTTGAGAAATTGGTAAACTTCCATCATCTAAATCTGTTTCTCCTGTTCCAGCCAATTAAACATTAAAATGAGCGTGACAAATAAGTGTTCATTTCTGGGTCAATAACTCCGTAGTATGTCTGTGACATGACTGGCTGAGACAATCCATTTCAGTACAGTCCTGAGCAACCTGACATCTTCAAGTATGTAATTGCTTTTATACAGAAAGAGAAGTAATAAGGATAATGTAGCTATCAGGCCTCGACTCACCAGTTCAAAAACTTCCCCTTGCCAATCAAATTTCTTTGATATTCAACCCGTTTTAGTCTCGTTCCAAAGGCATTCTTGTGCTGTCAGAAAATATCCTAATTGATAGATGCATTTTCTCCAGTGTTAGATGTTACCTCCTTGAAGATGCTCAGCTTTGTCCACCAGCCAATTAACCATCTGTAGGAAGAGTGCTTAGCACACGCTTTGTGGCACTAGGCAGGGTTGCCTCGTCCCTCCCCGTTCCCCTTCCCCTATTATATATATATTTTCTCAGCACTATTAGATTATTAAATGCTTAATGACTATTCCATTCCTGCTAACTATACTTTTGATGAGCTGCAGCAATAAAACTTTGGAACGGCAAAGTGCGTGTCTGGTTCCTTTATAGGAAGGGCACATTTGGGGAGCTGAAGTAATGGGGGATAAAACTCAATTAATGAATAGAAATAAAAAGAAGTAAATGAGGTAATCAAACTCAGAGAAATTAGTATTGGCAGGTTCTGAGTGATGCTTTTGGATGAACAATCTTTCAGAATCCTTCCTTGTATGCTGCTGCCGTCTCTTTATTTATTATTAAAATAACATGATCCATGAGGCGCTCGGGGTGACTCCCAGCCTAGCTAATTCTAATTAATCCAGTCAGGGAGAGCAGCAGGGTAAGTGGAGCAGTCTATCGGATTGAAATTCATAACTTAATTGAGGTCAAAGTCCCGGGTTGGGAGAACAAAAGTCTTTCGCTGGGACCAGGCAGATCAATAGCAATAAATATCTGGCTTGGATACAAGGAGCTTATAGTGACGGATTATCTGACACTGGTCAGAGGTCTTGGTCTTGTTAAGGGCAGCGTCCTGTGGCATGTACGGGATAGGGTGACTTTCATCAGCGTTCCTCCAAAACCCTGAGGAGCCCATAAAGGGCTCGTGGGAGCCAGAGCAGGAGGAAGCCCATAAAGAAGCCCACATGAGTCATGCTGGTGCTTGGATTCGGTTCCTCCAGGTACGGGTCTCTCGGAAGAGGCACAAGGGCACGTGTCACATTAGTGCTGACGGAGGTTGGAAGAAGTTGCTCAGGCTTACAGGAACCTGGAGCTAAATCACAGCTTGTCCACAGAAAGACCTTTAGGATGGGCGAGCTGAGCTGCATGCCAAGTCTGTATTTATAGCGTGTTTACAGAAGAGGAGAGGGGAATGTTGGAAGAGGGAAGTGTAAATAACCACCAAGGTAGATCTGTCGTGTTAGAGAAGCCAAAAGAAATGGGATTTCACATGTTCATCAGAAATGGAGTGTCTCTGCTGCAAGCTGTGAGATGTCCCCTCTGTCTGTATGGCGCTGTGTGTGCTGGTGATGGCCAGGGGATGATCCCAGGGGAAACAGCGAGGCCCTAATCTGAGACCTGGCATTATGGCAGCTCTGCCCTGTTCATGAGCGCTGCAGTATTCAGCAACCTAAGAAGCTACTCTGAACTCTGAAGGTAGATACTTCAGCTGGTGCTCAGTATTAAAATGCTATCTTCTCCCAGTCCGTTTGTTATTAATGCAATATTTATGCAGATTCAACTATTCTGCTCCTATCCTCTTTGTAGAGGACAAATATTGCTGTGGTCAGCAGTCGGTACATCTCTGATGGATGTTGTTCTGCCAGTGTACTTCAGCACAGCTTGGAAGTGAGATGGAAAGTGCAGCTCGGGCACAGCCAGTGCCTGGTTGCTGTGCTCCCTCCACCCCATTAATGCTGGATAAGGCTAAAGCACCTGTTAACATCTGGCTTGCCAAAAATCAGAAGATCTCTTCACCTCTAGTCTAATAGTCAGGTTTTTGAGTAATTTCCCTTGCACCTTTCATGTTGTTATAGAAGCTAGCAGAGTAATACAGGCATACCATCATGCAGCACAGTTATTGGATTGCACCATGCATATGCTGAACGTACAGAACTTTGCAATGGTATTTCCCCGTAACTTGAATCATAGTTCTGATAAGATTTTGGAGCAAAACTTTGAAATATGGATGTTATCATTCTTTTTGCTCGGCATAGAAACACACCTGTAATGCAGACCAGCTATTTGAAATGTTCAGAACCAGCAGCCAAAGTCTACAGAGCCCCTGTTGCTTCAGTGGGGAAATTCCCTTTATGGCTGCATTAAGAATTGAGTTCAGGTTTCTAATTCCCCAGTTTTGCTGCAGAATCCTGCATGACCTTGAACAAGTCACTCGATTTCTTTCCGTCTTGTTTTCCCATTTGGGAAATGATGGGGCAAATAATTGTTTTTTATCTCACGGATATAACAAGATTATAAAAATATGGTAGTTCTAAGACCCTGAGAAAACGGATCAAATGAAATTAAACAGATCTTGCAGTCCAGATGAAATGAGATGAAACAAGCATGAAACTATTAGGGAAAGAAATGTTTCTTTATCTTCTACAAATAAAAATGCAAAGTGATTAAGTGGCTCTTTTCTAGCTATTAGCAATAACAGCCCTAGCCAGCTGACTTTTGCCACCCTCGAAAATTAATTTGCGGGGTACAGTCTTGAATTTAGTGTGCTTCCAATAAATACCCCTAAAAATGTTGTCACCTCCTCCATGCACCGTGTTAGTGCTGTGATCATACCACAATTACTCGCCCTACAACTAAGAAGTGGCTGCTCTAAGTGAGATGCTCTAACAGAATGGTTTGCAAATTTATTTGAATTGATTTTCTTTTTCCTTCTGCAATATTTCCTTCCTTTATTGTACATCCAGCAGTATTTTCGGAAAGAAAGGAGAAGGAATGGGAATAGTGCTGAAGGATATTGTTAGCCAGGCTGGTTTCGGAGCTCTGGTGTGTCACCAGCAGCCCTGGCTTGGATGCAGACCAGGGTAGGGCTGGCATGGGGCTGGAGATGGGGCTGGTGGTGGCTGTGTGTGCATGGAGGGGAGGAAGGCCCCAGCTTCAGAGCTGTTTTCCTGCTCTGGCTTGGTGCTCAGTGGGAAATGTCACCCTTTCAGCTGGGCACTCGAAACAAGGTGGTGATTAATGAACAGAAAGGCGAACAGTAAGGAAGCAGTTTTGAGTGGCTGGCTTTCTGCAACACAGAGAAGCATTTCAGACAGCAGCAGGCTGCAGGAAAAGCTCCCTAGGTGCATGGGCTCAGCCAGGGGCAGGTTACCTGCCTGCAGGAAATTTCAGCTTCTTCTTCTTTCCTTTTTCTTTCTGAACTCGAGCTTTAATCACAGCCGCACTCAGATGCAATCTGAGGCTGAAGCCAGATCCCGTTGCCTTCTCTGTGTTGCCCTATTCCCTCTGCTGTTATCAGGATATTTCCGAGTGATGCTCACCGATTACATGGCAATTTGCCTTCTGAAGCGGTGTGAAATTGAGCATTGCACTTTAAATTCCTGTGGTCCAACTCGGAAGAGCCGTGTGAAGTCAGGGCTCAGCAATTGCAGGTGATCGATTTTTCATAGCTTGATAACCGAGCACTTGTTGTTGAACAACAGGAGGTGGTCGTGAGCACCCACACCTCCAGCCCTAATTGCAAAGCAACGAGGTTAATGCCAACCATGACAGCGTTCACAGCTGAATGTTTCGCAGCAGCAGAAAAGCTGGGAGCTGTGCTGACTTCTGCTTGTTAATTTCTCTCCTTGGATGGAAAAGTTCAGTGTGGATGTGGTCAGCTGCACTCATCAGCTGCTTAGAAACAACTTGCTAAACCACAGCAGCTTGGAGTCATCAGTCTTTACGTTGTGGTTTATGAATGTGTATCTATTAGAGTCTAAAACTGAAGATGATGTGAACTGGAGCATATGTGGGAATCATTTATTTTGACCCGTATTACATCATCTTATTTTTCCTTTTTGTCTGTATCAGCTCACATGGCTCTCTTGTGCACATGTACATAGTAATACAGAGCAGCTCTCTGGATTTATGTAAGAACATCTACACAATCACAGAGAAACTGTGGGAAGCATGGACAGGCACATCGATAGGTTGGTTTTGCCCTTGTTGCAGCTGGTAGCAGTGCCAGTCAGGGCATCAGGCAAGAGCAAACACTGTCCCTGTCCCAAAGAGTCCCTGTTGGCACCAAATGCAGTGCGACAGGTAGGGCAGTCAGAAAGGTTGAGGGAATGGAAGTAAGAGAGGAGGAAAAAGAGATCAGCAGAAAAATGACATTCTTGGCTCGGTGCTTCCAAAGGCAGTGCCAGCAGTGACACTGAGTCATGGCAAGGCCCTCTTACACTGAGGGCTTAAAAGCTGGTAAGGTGTCATTACCAAGGGCTTCTGATGAAGGGTAAACCTGTGAATTCCCTGCTGAAATCAATGGGACTTTTATCTACACGTATCTCTGTGCTGAATGCATCCCTTTCTTTGATCAGTGTTGGTTTTTATCAAGTCCACGGGGAGATAAATTCAGTGATGGGGAAAAAATGGGAGACTTTTCATAGAGGAAAAGAGAAAATTGATTCATTTGCATAGGAATGTATCACAGCTGTACCCCATGCAGAAAATGTTTCCTCTTGGGACAGGGTGATTTAACAGGCTGCAGAATAATTCCTAAATCTAAGCAGACAGTGGCAACTCATGGTGGCCCTGCTTTTCTTCAGGGATGCTGCTTTCCACCTTGTGCCCAGCTGCTCTCCAGGGGGTCAGCATCCACTTCAACATCAGAATTTGCTGCTCCTAAATGTGCCTTAGTGATACTCCCCTGCTGGGGAATTGCCCAGCTAGGCTTGCCAGCTGCAACCCGTCTTATTTGATGTGACTGCTTGTTAGTTCCTATGCCAGCATCCCCTGCATCACCAAATAGCGTATAGAGATCCACCTCTGTTTTTCAATCATTGCTCTGTCCTGGAGATGCTCGCTGTGTAGCTGCTGCTATATTTGAATTGGCTGTGCATTCCATGCACCTGGAGTTGGAGGTGGTCATGGATGGTCCAAAAGATGAGAAAATCCACATGAGGTTGTGGTGTGGGTTCCTCTTAGCAGTGCTCTTCAAGCAAATTGATGGCTCCTTTTTCGTGGTTCATTTTCAAGGGATTAGGGAAGGATTTCTGCAGCTCTGCAGAAGTTATAAGAGAGAGGGAAAAAAAAGAGAATTTTGCCATGTTTTGTTCATTAAATACATTTTCTTGAAAATGCAAGTTCTAACTTGCTGCTGCTCAGTGAGTCATTAGTATTAAAGCTTTGTTTTTGTGTCACCAACTTTAGGTCCTACTCAAGCCCTGGGGATTTCTGTTTTAGATGCTGTGTTAAGAGATCCCCACACTGGGGGCATCCCCAGACTCTGGCTGTCCCACTCCATTCGGATGAGGTGTGCAGGTCCGACTGTCCACCAATGTTACCCACTAAACCATGTCCCTCAGAGCTACATCTGTGCATTTCTTAAAC